GAACAACAGGGAAGAGATTCCCTGTTGGGGTTGCCCGTCACTGAATGGGGGCGCCTCCAAATGGAGGATACCTCCCTCCTCGGGTGGCGTCGTCGCGTCGGGGGTGCTGGGCGGGTGAAGGGTGATTCGGATGCATGGGAAATGGTGCAAGGTCTGCTGATGCATTGGGACGGCAAATCCCAGCGACATCGGCTGGTGGTCCCTTCTGAGTTGCGAGGCAAGGTGGTGTGGGCCGCGCATGAGCGCCTATTACACCTGGGGACCCAAAAGACTCTTGCACTGCTACAACTTGATTATTTTTTGGCCTGGTATGACGAGGGATGTTGGGGATCTATTGGGATCATGCCCTCGGTGTGCGCAACGGAAACCGCCGGCGCGGGAGTCTAACCCGCCCTTGCAATCGATCAAAGTATCCAGAATAAATGAGCTTGTCGCGCTGGACATTTTGGGCCCATTTCCCGCCACCCCCAGGGGCAATAGGTATTTGTTGACAGGTGTCGAGTATTTTACGCGCTGGCCTATGGCCTGGCCCCTTGCCAACCAGTCGGCAGCAGCCATCGTGGAGGCCTTTGTTCAGGGATACGTCCTGGACAAAGGTGCTCCGGAGCGGCTGCTGACCGACCAGGGCAGAAATTTTTCCGGTAAATTACTCAAACAAGTCTGTGACCTCTTAGGCACGAAGAAAATTCGTACCTCCCCGTATCACCCGCAAACTGACGGAATGGTCGAGCGCCTGCATCGCACCATTACGTCAATGATGTCACAGCAGGTCTCGGACTCGCAGACTGACTGGGACCTGCATATTCAAGGGGTCTTGGCGGCATACCGGATGGCACCCCATGCAGCTACGGGATTTTCCCCCTTTTACCTCATGTACGGTCGCGAACCCGACCCGCCTGTTCGCGCCCAGCTGCAGATCCCCGACCCGCAAGGGAAAACTAAATTGGCTGACCACGTCAAATTTAATCTGGCCAAATTAACAGAGGCGCGGGATGCTGCTATGCTAAACTCGGACCTCCGTCAAAAGGCGAATGAGCGCCTCAGGCTGGGTCGGGCGCACGTAATACAGTGGAAGCCGGGGGACAAGGCATGGTTGCACTGTCCCCAAGTGCCCCTGGCTACCTCCCCTAAGCTAGCGCGGCCGTGGCGGGGCCCTGTGGAGGTGGTCGAAGTTTTGCGACCACAGTGCGTGCGCATTAAATGGGGGAAGCGGCGATGGTTCGTGCACCCCTCTAGGTTAAAACCCTTCGTTGCGGTACACAAACCCACTTCACACATGCGTGGCCAAACGTGTGGGGGGTCGACCGACTCACTGGGTCCGTCTCCGTCGTTCTCACCTAATGCCTTGCCGGCCGTGCCACCTCCAGGTGCATCAGGACTGACGGGCTCACGCCCGACCACCCCTCCTGGGGATACCGACGGTCGCGCGGCATCGGATGAGGTCTCACTCCGGGACGGACAATTGCCACCTTCTGGTCCGCCACCCGGGGTTACCCCGTGTGAGGGGCCCGCTGCAAGGACGCGCGCAAAAATGCGCAGACTGTTATGAGGCCGGAAGATGTGTACATAGGTTGTGTTCATCGTGTGTTGTGTGGGTGGTGTGTTCCCTGCCCATTGAAATGTACATACGTTGTGTTCATTGTGTGTTGTGTGGGTGGTGTGTTCCCTGCCCATTGAAATGTACATACGTTGGGTTCACCTGGTGTTGTGTGTATGGTGGGTTCCCTGCAAATTGTATATAGGTTGTTTTTTTTACGGAATTCGTATTTATTCAAGGGGGGTGCGTCGGGTTGTTTTCTCTTCTTGCTGTTGCATTTTGTTGTGTTCTTGTTGCTGTTCTTGTTATTGTTGAAAAATAGTGAGGCACACGCGCGGTCAAGGGGTAAATGCACTTTTATTGTCATTTTTGTATGTTGGCAGCCGGGACGGCTGCAAGCTATGCGGGGGGGGGGGGGGGGTGATGTAGGGGTGTTAAAGAGAGGGCCCGTTATGCATGGCAGCCTATGGAAAACAAACACAGTGGGCGGGGCTACGTAAGTGCACGAGCAAGTGCCCTCTACGACGTCCGAGCCAGACACCCTGGGGGGGGCTGGTTCGAACGTTATGATCCCCCGGGGCCCCACCCCTCAGGGAGGGGTTGGGTATAAAAGGGGATGTTTCAAAGGGCTCGGCAGTTATGTTTAAGCTAAGGGAAGAAGATTGAAGACGTCTTAGATAGAGCCCTGGACTCCCCTGGTTCGATGTCCTTTTCAGGGCCGGACAGGATTGAGCCAGCGGCGTGGTCCCGAAAGCCAGAGCCGGTGCTCTTGTAAGAGCTGGTCTGGAACTCCGGGTACCGGGCCCGACTTACCAGTGTCGGGCCAGTTAGCCTCCCCTAGCCCATTAGTGGAGGATTCGGGGCTAGGACAGAGTTAGCTAGGGGTGTATCCCGAGTTATACGGGTGAGGGGGCCGATACCCCCTCGAGAGTGTATATGCCCACTGTCATAGAGTGCCTATGCAGTAGCGCTATCATCGTACAACCCAGGGTTTAATTTCTCAATTAATATTGTTTTGCGTACCTGGTAGAACGGAGATTGCAAGTAACAATTGACCTGCACAGCCGAAGTGAGAGGTATATGGAATGTGGTGTGTTGGGTACAGACATAATTACCAGGTCACTCACCAGGAAAATGGTTTTAGCTGAAATTATGCCCTGTTGTAGGCCGGGCCAAATGACCAGAATGTACCTGATCTCATCAGATGTCGGAACTAAGCGAGTTTTTTTATATGCCTGGATAGAGTTTGGATGAGTGACCTGCATGCATAAATCTGGTTTCATAGGCTGTTGCAAGACTACATTGTCAGCAGATGGCTGTGCAGAAAAATGCATTGTTGTATTATACCATGTAGCACCATCTATGCCCCAACCATTACTTATCCGTACTCACCGGAGTGGTAAAGTATGGTCAAATGACCCCCATTCGCCACGTGGTAATCCGTCATCCAGTAGTGGTTTAATACAAGGGCCGTTCACGTATGTCGCAGTGTAGCAGCACTCACCTGTCACCAAGCTGGCAGTTGGAACAGCAATATATAAACGCTTAACGACAGATAGGTCGTAAAGCTCACTGCTCAATCTGGCATAGCCCTAAATTCATTCGCTGTGTCCAATTGCATTCAGCAGCACCACTGTTAATTGAAACAAATTTATTGCAGCGTCACAAATGCAACAGTCTGGGTTCAATCGACATCAAAATGGTATCCCGAAAGCGGAGAGCCGCGAGAGACTAATAATACGTTACTTTGTGGTCCAGGTTGGTACACTGATATTCAAAACGGTAAGTTATATTACAGAAATATAAACTATAAATGTGTTATAGTATTTTTTAAAAAAGTACATTGTACGTTTAAATTCATCATGTTATTTATCATAATGTGTGAGTGCAAGATGAAATGAACTAAAGTTTGGCATGTTGAAACTATAAATGCCAATATAGTAATGTACATAAAGACTTTTGATGACTAAAAGAGAGCCAAGGTTTTGGTACATGGTTTAGTATGCATCAAATTATTGACGGCAGACCTAACTTTACATTTGTGTTCCTCTGGGAAGATAAATTGTATTTCTTTAAAAAGAAATAGCAAGAAAGATGCTATTTCCAAAATTGATGCTAAATTATGTATACATCATGCATTATTATTACACTGTCTGCTTTATTGTTCTAGTTTACGTTCTTTCAATTATCCAAACTTAACAGCCAGCATCTTATTAAAAGAAAGTGAAATTCAACTTTATTAACGACAATACCCAAGGGAAAATCAACACTTTTTTGTATTCATGTTCAAAACAGTGTCCACTTGAGGTTTAGCTGTATACTTTTAGATAAAAGTTGTACAGAGCATCTGATCCTATTTAACCCAAAACAACATTTTTTTGCATCATTTCCGTACATTATTTACACACGTCTTGTGAAAACAGCAAGAAGGTAAATTAATGTAATAACTTGTATGTGCAAGCATTATTAACCTGGGAATATTTATTGTCTGCCACTACATATTAAGGAATATATAATTTTACACAGTGCTTTTATGAAGAAAAAAATGTTGACCATGAGAATTTACAGTGACTTAAGCAAAAAAAATGTCAAGTGTCATGAAAAAAATACTTGAACGTATTTATAAACGTACGGGCAATTCAACATTGCCACCTACAATTCGTTAGTGTTACTTGGGTTATTTTGAAGTGCTGCAATTTAAACAATACAGTGTGCACAAGAAAATGCACGAGTAATTTTCAATGGTGATCATTGTGTACTGTACTAGATGCATCATTACAAAAGTGTTATTTTTTTACCACCAAACAATGAATGTTTAAACTGAGGTTTCCACAACAATGCAGCTATTCCCTGGGTAAACGTACCATGACCATAAAGTACAATAAGATATGAGCAAATAACGCATGGGATTGTTAGGATAAAGCATGGTTTTTAGGATAAGCGTGATTTTGGTTACACAAGTACCCAAATGTTAGCCCAAGCTACAAGTACCATACACGAGTGTTACAACTTTGGTTCTTTAAGATTGTGAAGTCCACATCATGTTACCAATTAATTTTGCCAGTGCTTGAAGAAATGAGTTACTGTATTCAATGAAAAAGTCTGTCTGTGACCATTGCAGAAGATAAACACTGCGACTAGGGCTGCCGCGAAATATCACTGCTCACGATACAATATTACATTTCATGATATTGTGTTTGCCGCGATATCTGTCTCCCACAATAACTCTGCAATTGTATGTCACACTTTGATTGTATTCAACTGCAGTTCACTCAACATAAGCCTGCCACGAGTCTTGTAATCATGAGCAATTTGTAGCGCGTATAAACAACGGCTTCGATTTTGGTGTGGTAATTTTGTTGTTCTCAAATTCACGATCAAGGTGCGGCAAAGAGATACAATCATTTATAAAAGCTGTCAGAATAAGTTATGAAAGTAAAGAAAGGAAAAGCCTAATCTAATGTGGAAATAAAATATTTGTATGCAAATATAATTACCAATACAGTGACACAAAACGAATGATATCGTTATCGTGCCTCATATCCTATGATAGATATATCGTAGTAACGCTATATCGCAACATCGCTAACGTTGACAATATTGTGACTTTATGAGCACTCTGCTGGGATGTCACTGAGTGAGGACCGCAGATTGAGTTTAAAAAAAAGTGTCGAGGACTTAGTTTTGTTCATAGGAGGTCCAACTTTAAACAATTACAATGATTACCCAATGGGCCATTCAAATACATAGAATTGGAAATCATAAAGAACACAATTTAAGAGTCAAAGCAGCATCGTTTTTGTAATATAACAGAACACCTCATTTGTTGATGACATTAATTGATTGGCGTGTTAATGAATGCAACATTTCAGGGACTAAAGCGTCTCCCTCATCACATTCTATTGTCATACAAGGATACTTATGCCCCTTGTAGATGTTTCCTAGCATAAACAATGATGAACAAATGTATACTGCTTTGCAGCTTGTATGTATGCATGTGTCGTGGTTTAACGCGCACCAAGGGGGGTAATTGTAAACACGCGTGGGTTGTGGACAGTGGGGTTGTATCGGGACAAGCTGGTGTTGCTGGGGGACAACGGCCGGACGGAGACGGCTCCTTAGGCAATTATGGGATGCAGGGCAGTGATTGGCCTGTTGTTGTTGTTGTCAGGGACGAGGTGGCGCCTGTAAGTTTGGGAATGGGAGCAGGTTGCGGTGGGGGCCGCGGGCGCGGGGAGTTGGTGGGACGCCGGTTATTTAATTGGAAATTAATAGGGACGGGGATACATACGGGGGCGTCAGAGTGAGACGGAGAGTTTTGCTGGGAGCTGGACGGAGACGGTCAGAGCAGAAGAAGAAGATATGAGAAGAAGTATAGGGTAGCAGTGGAGTAGAAGACGAAGTATAGGGTAGCAGTAGAGATGGAGACGAGGAAGAGAAGAGGAGACGACAGGATGGATAGGCTAGCAGTGGAACGGGAACGAGAGAGACAGTCGGAGTGAGACGGAGAAGCCGAGAGAGAGCAACGGCTGGAGTGAGACGGAGAAGCCGAGGGAGAGCGAGACGATCGAAGCCGAGACGGGTGAAGCAGAGAGGAGAGTCGGGAGAGAGAGAGAGAGACGGAGAGAAAGAGGGAGGAACGGAGTGAGCGAGGCCGGCGGAGCGTGGCGAGCGAGCGGAGAACGCGCTGGAGAGTGGTGGTGAAATGTGCTGAGTTTGATCAAATAAAGTGACGACAGAAAAATAAGAAGTTGTCCGCGTAAAGTTCAGCACTACACATGTTCAAATTATTTCGCACCATACGTGGCCAACCGTGCTAATCGGAGGTGCGGATAGTGTTCCGCTCCTGTGCTCTGTGTATATGCTGGATATATCCAAAGATTATTATAGGGTATTTTGTCTTACAGGGTGTTTTTGCGCAAATTTATCCAACCACATTTCAGTCAAACGTAATAAGCATGTAAAGGTTCAATCAACCCAAGTAAATTGTCACAATCACAATTAGATTGAATAGATTATCATGCCTCGTTTTTCCTCCCACCTCCTTTGTATTATCTATCCCTTTTTTGCTGTGACATTTGAACAGTTGAGTTCGACCATTGACATGCATAACATTTGCATACCATTTGCATATCATTTCCATAATCCAACAAACAATTATTTTTCAAACGCGTGATTTAATGCACATACCAAATATAAGAATACATTTCCATTGACGAATCTATTGATCATTGCATGACCAGTGAAGAATTCTTCAAACGTGAATAAAATCCATATTTACTGCTGCTCTCCCTAACATAACTAAACAACCCCAGTAACATACACCAGTTCAATCTGAAAATATAGCAATTATTAATGTGACAGTACAGTAACTTGAGAAATATATAGGATATATAACTCCTCTGTTGTTTGTGGGTTTTACCGCGTGTTGTTTAGCATGATATCCGACGTTTCGCTCCACGTAGTGGTGAGCTTGTTCAGTTCCTGAAGGGTAAAACATCGGACATTGTGCCGAACAACACGTGGTATAGCCCAAAAACACATTGGAGAGCTATATGGCAAAATCGCTAAATCCTAGTCATACATAACCTCTCTGAAGGATTTCAATTACTCATTATCGTGGTACATTAACAAATGTGCAACTGTGCAAAAGGTAAGTAAAAAAACTAGATTATTGTACTGCAATCATGCAAGTGCAAATCGTTGCATGTAGATGCACTGGCCTTGCTGTTAGTTACAATAGAATAAATGTGTCAGATTACATCTTGACTTAAAGCTTTAGTGACTGCAGGAATACTTGTTCTTTGGGTCTTTCGCTCAAGAAAATAAAAACTATTTTATTTGAACCTATCTACGTGACTTTACCGAAAGACCCAAAGAATAAAGTGTCAGATTGTTTTAGAATCAATTGCATTCATTTAGGTTCCTAAGCACAAGGAGAGACAAGCCTCTGACTATCATTGATTTTTTAAAATAAATAGTCGAATCCGAATGGGAGATAAAGAGCAAGCAGTTCCCGAGGAATACATAAGTAATATTATTGAATTTGTTATAAATACTCAATATCAAGAAGTAATGGATTGCAATTTTTTTCCATTCTTATATTGTAAAAAAAATGTGCTGTAAATTATTTGATAAAGTAAACGTATCCACCACACTTACTATCGTTCGGCAACTGCGTTGTACTACTGCAGTCGTGGGACATTACCAAATGAAACTAATGTATCACTGTAATGCCACCTAGTGGTCAAGAATTTCAATGTCAATGATATTGTGAATTATTTTTAAAGTGTACACATTGCAACTGTGTTGCTGCACACATAATTGGTTGATTAATAAAATGAACGAAATTTACGTACAAAATAACTCGACTTACTTGCATAACTGATATCACACACAGCATACAGCAATCACATTCACTCACAATGACTTACAGTAGAAGGGATTATGTAAGACATGGATTTAGATTGTTGCACTCTGGTGTCACGGCGCTTTGTAGAAACCCGACAATTTATTTGGCATGTTAAGTACACCTTGGACAATTCATAACTGTATATCCACAATAACAAGTGAATGTACTGTCAGTGAATGCTTCGCTGCAGACATCATACGTGACATCAATGGGATTCAAGTCAACTCACATTGTTGCCGCTGCTGCCTATTTCTGCCGATGCATGCACTGAAAAAAAACAAGATGTTAACCCTTTATTTTACATTGCATATGAGCATCATACGATCAACACCAATAAATTGTGTCCAATCAACCACCGTCGGTAATCCTTACAATTGGCACTCATAATTGTTGATGCAATATATTTTACGGTACGGGTATTCTTCAAAAAGCACTTAATGGTCCTATTTTACATTTACATCCCTCTGAGATACAACCACCGCCGCCACCACCACCACCAACTCGTACTCTAAGCAATGTTTCATCTGCACAGCAGGTGGCAATAAAGAGCCATTCCAGGAGAGAGAAAAAATATCTTTGTCGACAGCAATAGTAACATCTACGGTATACCAAAAGGTTACATCCATTGATGACTATACATCTATGCAACATATATATTTTTGGAGTGTCGCAGGGTGACGATGTGTTTGAAAAGCATATTTTATAGAGTGTTTACAGAACATTCAGCATCTGCAATATTTTGTTTCGACTGACAACCAATAAAATATTTCGCTTTTACAATACGTACTAAAAATATATACGTGGGTCCAGAGTTCTTTGCATTTTCAAATGTTTTTAGTGTTTGTGTCATTTTTTTTTGTATCGGCTCTTTCATTTTAAACGATATGATAATGTGCTCATACAGTTGTCTCAGTCCTCCAGGGTCCCGTTTTGACATTTGGGCAGGTGCCTGTGATTAATGGGACTGTGGCATTTAGCTCAATGTTATCAGCAGGCGATACCACATTGTGAACAGGAAAGTGGATGCCGTACGCCATGCAGAAAGCCTCCTGAGAGGCTGCCTGCACCACAGGTGCATCATCGTTCCCAGAGCCACTTTCCTGTGACCGACAGCAGAGTGAAAGTGTGGAAAATTCACTGTACTGCGCACTGACGCCTCCCTCCGTCGTGATTTTTGGCACGTCATAAACCAAGTCGCCCGTGGAGCTTTGCCTGTTGGCCTGCAGACTGTTTTTCCTCCGACCCCTTGCGCAGTGTTTCCTCGGCAGAGTCCTGCTCGTGAGACAGTCGGCGCTCGCCTGCTCATTGATCTCACTCAGTCGCTCATCGATGCTTTTCTCCCTGCTCTGTGCGAACTGCACATTCGCCCTGGCAATGTTCTCCACTTGCAGGTTGGTCATCTTGCACTGGTGCTCCGTTGAGGCCAGGGGTATGCTGCTGATGGCGGCCACACTGTCGCTCACCAACGAAGGCGGGTTTCCGCTCACCACCACATACATATTCCCACCGCCCACGCTCGACAGCTGGCCATTAGTTATGAGCTTGCACTCTTGATCATGCTCCTCGCTCCGTGACGGTTGATGCGAGAGCTTGGAGGAGGAGGCGACCTCCGCCTGGGTCACGCCGCCACCTTTTCCTCCACAGCAGTGGCAGCAGCAGCAGCAGCGACCGAACCAGAGGTGCCACACGTCGTCGCGCTTGGCGCAGTGGTGCACCAACACGAACAGCCCCAGCGTGAGCACCGTGCCACCGAACAGGCAGCTGAATACCACGGACAGCAGCTGGTCGGAGTGCCACGCGGCCAGGGCGCCCAGCGTCCAGGAGATGGCATACAGCAGCAGCACGAGAGCTGTGCCCACGAGCTGCTCGGGGAACGTGTGCTCGTTGGCGAGCGCCGGTGGCGGAGAGCCGGCGCAGCGGGACGCGCCTCCGTGGCCACACTCGGGCCCGCCGTGGCTGGCCACGTGATGGTGGCAGCAGCGCGGGGGTGGGTGGATGATGATGATGTGGGGCGGTTGTCCAGCGGCCCCACGAGGGCCGGCCGGGTGCGCGTCCTTGAGCTCGTAGCGCTGCTGGCCAGGGCGGCGGTGCAGGCACACGGCCGTGCGGATGAGGTAGACGCACGTGGCCAGAACGACGAGTGCCGTGGGGCCGTAGAAAGCGGCGAGGCTCGCTTCCCATGCCACCCAGCAGCTTGGGGCGGGAGGGGGTAACACACACACGAGTACATGGACATATTATTTAAACGATAACTCATTTTCCTAGATTCCCTTGCAATGCATTGCCCAGCATATAGGAAATCGCACAACCGTCAAGCATGCCTTGAAATTTGTTTGGCTGCAAAGGTGCATACATTTTTAGTCGCGGCCTCAAAGTGCTCCCTGTCACATCAGACAGCCACTTACGCATTCAACGTTGTGGCTTCGCACTTATTCTTTACGCTTTTCGTGTAGCACAATGCTGCCCGGTGGATAGCTTTTATGACCTTTAGTCTGAATATCTACGCAGCATGGGTAAAGTAGACAACAAAATGGAAAAAAAAAACCCGCACCTTTAAGCGTGTGTCATTATTTGTTGAAATCAAAGGCATGCATTTGCAATAACAGCTCTGGGAATTAAAGCCAATCGCATATATATATATATATGCGATATAGACTACATTGAATGGATTTGTGAATGTCAAGCTTTTGCATATATTACTTATCATATGCTGTGCTGTACATTGACAATTGGGACACTAAAATAATAAATATACCTATCAGGCAAAGATAGGGAACGGGTGTAAGGCCCATGTCATTACAATTCACAGGGCTTGATTTATGTGTTGGTGGAAGGGCAGTTTCTCTTGAGATTTGGAAAAAAGAGAAAGATATTCATATTATGACTATGCCTATGAGCCTGCTTTTACAGAAGGAAAAACGGTGTCCGAAAATGTGTGAGAAGGGTCAGTCTGCGCTCAAGAGTAAATTGAACAAGCGCGATTAGGGTGCGTGAATTGTGCAATTGCACTGTCATGGACCCGTTCGGGCAGTTGCTAGTGAGGGAGAGAGGAAAGGATTGCTGATGGATGCTGTCATGGCATTCGCAGGCTTTCAGGAATTTCAGATCCGCTACCTTTTCATGGGAGAAGTAACTTTTTACTACGTGTGACTGATTTGCAGTCTCCACAGTTTAGTGGGCCAATTTTGTTCATTTTCCGTTGTGTGTATTGTTTATAGCGTCTTGTTTTTTAACATTATACAGTAGAACCTCGGAGATCGAACGCACCAGAACTCGAACAAATCGGTGTTCGAACGATATTTCCGAACATTTTTTGCCCGGGAAACCGAATGAAATTCGGAGGTTGAACGGGCAATCACGACTTGAAAGAACCTGTACGGCTGAGACGCGTATGGCCAGCATGCATGACGCTTGCCCAGACAAAGGTTTTAGCGTACGATAACCTCTTTAGATACGTTTTAGTCAGAAAGAGCTCAAGTGACTCACAGTTAGTGGCAGAAAAAAGGCACAAAAGAGAAAGAACCCCAGAAGGGCAGTTACCCGACGTTATTATGGAAGGGGACTCCACTTCCAAACAATGACACCACCACCTCCTCCTCACCACCTTCCACTCAAGCCATCAACTCTCCTTACTACAGGTGAAGTGAAGTTCAATGTTCATTTATTTCATTTATTCAATATATTTATTCATTTATTCCATTTATTCATTGTGTTTATTGTTTTTTTGTATGATTTTATGCACGTGTAGTGGTGATAACTACTCGCTGTTCGCAAGCTGTGAGAGAGCAGTTGGTAAACAAGGGTTTCCCGCTCAATCAAACAGTAAGGGTCAAATGGGGTGAAGTAGGATCCAAATGCCAGATTGGGAAGAACCAATCGGAGGAGTCCAAGAGGTGGCCAGGGATTGGTTAACCCGGCCACGAACAGGTATAAAAGCCGGAGCGCTGAGAGCTCCGGGAGGGTCTGCTACACGAAGACCCAAGTCGGCTGAAGACAGCTAGGACCCTGGACCAAGCCTTCCAGCCCTTGTCAGGGCTGGGGCTCAGAGTAACCAGTGGTCAGGGGAGATAGGTCCTGGATAGGACCCTGGCTCCCAGCCTTCCCGCCCTTGTGAGGGCGAAGGTCCTGAGCGACCAGAGGTCGGGGACCCGCCGGGCCAGCGGCGGGTCAGTGTGCCTCCCCTAGGTCCCAGCCGGAGGACGCTAGGCTAGCGGGGAAGATAGCCGGCAAGTCCGGAGTCTGTAGCATCGTCAGGATAACGGGTAGGGGGACCGCGTGGCGTCTAAGAAGTTTCCGTCTCCTTCAAGAACGTTACACATGTAATTACTGTAAACTTCGTATAAAATGCTTTATAATGAGAGATTTCTTGTGTCTGGAACCAATTAATGTAATTTACATTAATTCTTATGGGGAAAATTAATTCGGTGTTCGAACAAATCGGTGTTCGAATGGCCTTCTGGAACGAATTAAGTTCGATCTCCGAGGTACCACTGTATTTAATCTGCGATCACTTATTTACGGAGCAATGATCTCATACCACGTGTTCTGGTGCCCAGAGATAGACTGCATGGGAAGCGTGCTATAAATAATACATGATAATGACAGTGATTCCTCCATTATAGAAATCTGTGTGATTTTCCTATGACAGTATGAGATGGTGAGAAAGCTCCCTGTTGTGCGAGTCTCCCGCCATGTGTGTAAAACTGGGGAGTTCTGTGAATTAGGTGCACGTTAGCCCCGTGGACAGCTGAGATAGAGCAGGTGGGCATTCCACCCAAGCAGAGAGGGGCCACCAATACCAAGAGCACGTTTTCTGTGCCACGATTCAGATTTTCAAAGGGAAGACATGGCTGCGTTTCTGATGCATAAAATGATTTTTTCATATAGCCTACTGTGGTGGCATATGACGTGGAACAGCGGTGCAGTGGATAGCATGCTGCGTGATGAACCCAATGACCTGAGTTTGATTGGAAGCCAAAGCTAACAGCAGTAGCGAGTGATAACCGAGCCCGTACTGGGTTTCCGCTTTACCAACCTGCACTACTGACATTCGTCATGCAGGGTGGGGTAACCAACTCCCATAGCTGAGATGGCATGGGGGAGTCCATCGAGCAGTGGATTGACAAAGGGCTGTAAATGATTATTATTATTACGGTATTATTTGTACATTTTAAAGAAAACGAAGTGGACATGGGTAGCACACGTCGCAGAAGGGTTGATGGCTAATGGATGAGACTGATGACAGATTAGCAGCTAAAGGAAGGCACACGCTCAACAGGATGACCATTGTGTAGATGAAGCGATGCAATGAGCTCATGTGCAGAAGCGAGATGGATTTGTCCATGACAATACTGGAGGGATAGTAAGAGTATGGGTAGGCATTCATCCAGGAATGGCGAAAGCATGGCTGATGATGATTACATTATGCACTCCTGAGACAGTAGTCATTTAACGATATATTAAATGCGTACACAAATATATGAATATATACATTCAACATTCATTGAGCCTGAAGAGGAATTGCAGAGTTACACAGGTTAGATAAATAAAACATTTACAAAACACAAAGTTGTACATGTTTTGACAAATACGGTGTCGCAGTAATTATCAACAAAGCAAAGCTAAGTTTAGTGCATAGCTTGAAAGTATGGAGTAACAAAACATTAGTGCGCTTTTCATGGCCTCATGATTGTTCATTAGTTTTGAGAAATATAAAAGGGTCAGAGGATTTTAATGAACAGTAATGACCTATGTCCATGAATTATTAAAAAGGTTGGGTGCGTTAGCTCACACCGTGAAGGTGCTGGCACATTCTCAAAGACTAATCAGGATAATGTGAAGCAGCCAAAGAGACTCTGCATGTTATGGCATGAATTTTAAATACTCATCATACCCTCAAGCAGTTTAAACAAAACTATGTAAAAGAGAAAAAAACTTTACTCTTGTACAGTATTACCAACGTGCATGCTCAGATGTTTTTAAAAATATATATATCCATTTAGAGCTCCTCAACATGTTTTCTACGATTTAGTTGTTATTATCTATCTCCAAATGTACTAAGGGGAATGTTTGGTTGTGGCCACTTCAATACACTATGTATGCCTTGCTCTTGCAGTGCCCAAAGAAAATAAATGTAAAATTACATATGAAATAGTTTTGACAAAACATAAAAGCACGTTATAATTTGTTCAATTTATATTCGTATTCTAAATTACTTTTTTTTGTTAATTAAGACTACAATGTCAATAAACACCATCTGAGTGTTTATCACGAATTAAGGAGACCTCCCGATTTTGCTTGCCTCAATGTCACGTGATTTATGCCCCACGTTTCATCCATCCCATGAGAATCCATGACTTTCCCTTGCCAATAGGTCATTCCATTCCTTTAAAGAGGACACAAATCTCGAGGGTGGTCGACAAAATGAAGTGGTACACTATTGGGTTATATACACCAGACGCTTTCCACCGGACTTGGGCAAGCGAGGGGCCATTCGAGTCACTGACCATGCAAGCTTTCATGAACGCATCATAACATATAGAAGCACAAGGAAGAAAAGTAAAGAGAACAATACATGCTATATACACATATACATTAACTGTTGTGTGTAGATCCAGCCAGATGGCAGCGTGGATATAGTACCCATGAATTCAAATCCTGGTTGAGGACCGCCAACTCTATCCATTTGGTACATTATATGTTGGCTAATAAGCACTGTGTCTTCTCTAATACTCATATAAAAGTGGGCGTTAAAGACTCTTTACTATAGCGTGTAATGTTAGGCCATTATGTGGCAGTGCAAAGACTAAATCTAAAGTATTATAATTTTCCATATGTAAATTAACCGAAAATGTAATTAGGACTATCTTCTTTCATAGTTACAAATCCTTGAAAACTAAATATACATTAATATATTTCTTGAAAATACTAATGAATGTGAAATACAATTACGCCTGTCTTTTTATAAGTTTTGAAAAGGTATTTGATTCGGTGGAAACTGAAGCAGTTACCAAGCCCTTGCAGACTAAGGCAATAATGCAAAAAACAGAGACATTGTCATAACCATTTGCAAAGAAGGAGCTGCTACTTTCAGTTTGCACAAATAGAGCTTGAAAATATGAATCGGAAGAGGAGTCATGCAAGGAGATATGCTCTCACCAAGGTTGTTTTCAGCAAAATTGTACAATATCTCC